TTATTCCAATTAAATTCAACCATTCATGTGGAATATATGCCCAAATTACATACAATACTGAAATAGTATAAAATAGCACAAAACAAAAATTATTATTTTCTGGCTCATGGATATAAACTAACAATTAGAAGCGATTATGACGTTACGCTTAAAAGCAATAAAAGGTACTACAGTCTAAGCAAAATAAATACATAAGTTATATCATCTGAGACCAAACCCCAAAAACACGAGTTAGTAAATTTATAGCGACTAAGGTCAGTATACTAAACTAGAGAATCAAACAATCCAAATGTCAGAATAATAGTATATTGGTTAAATTAACGATAGCTAGCAAAATTATAGGATAGTAGCATAGATATAAAACTAACGCCAGTATTAAAAAATAAGAAATTAGGAAGAAAAACGAGACAAAGGAATTCTAGGCATAGAATAAAAAATTGATTATTGGAGTGATAAAATAATCTAGTTTTATGCCTGAGACCGGTTTAGATACAGATCATTCAATATTATCAATCACGTGTACTCAAGTCAAAAAGCCTAATTCTGGGCTAAAAAGCTTAAATTTAAATTCAATAATTCTACAAAGTGATGTCATGTTTTAATCTAAACAATGATTGGCAGCATCCAAAATACTTGTACTTCAGTGATTATAACAATGAGGTATCTTAATACTTATAACACAAACCGTCGTAGCTGATGGGGATTCATGATCTCATTAGCCAACCTACACAATATACCCGACGTCAACGCAACTTACCATATGATTTGACTATACACGAAAATGAAGAACACAGACCATTTGTAAATCATGACCTGTGAAAGTATAACACATCCATAGGTTATGATAATTTGGTTAGCATAGCTTGTGTATGGTGAAACCATCTAGTGGACAATGCTGATATTAAACGTAGGGTTTTAGGTGTAAAGAAAAACAAGAAACTAACTGATGTTGCAAAATTAAATCAATTCAAGTACATAGAACATATATTCGCATGCAGAACACCTATGCAGACGCTCATCACTCTCCACCATAGGTTAAATTTAAGAAAAAGTTAGACTTTGATTTTGTTTTCGGCGATGAAACGCAGCATAACAACTTGGACAGATATAAATTTAGTCTAGATCTTACGCTATCTAAGACTGAGTGGCGTATGTTAATTAATACAACTAGGTTTTGCTACTTTAATTTGTGTAAGGCTGAAGAGGTCATGGATTTGTCACACTCAGTGACTAGTTGCAAACGAAATCGAATTTTATCATATTGATAGTAGTGAACCAAACCATTTAGGCTAATAAACTGATACCATAATATGAAGAAACTGGTGGTTAAACCTTAAATAATTATTAGAAAATAGGTTGACATCTCTTCGAATCAAGTTCGTGTACGTTTACAACGGTCAAAACGATAATGATTGCTATAGTGACACGAAATATCCTTTTTGAATATAAAACCAAGCGTACGGTACATAGTAGTACTAAAAAAAGTAGTAACGAGCGATGAAATGCACGGATCATTTGTCGGAAATTGAAAGCGATGACTCACCAAATGCAGGAAAACATACAAGATATATAATGAAGCCATAAATTGCTTTTTCATCTAAGTGCTCACGATTTGGATTAATATAGGGAATAGCGATTGAAGGTTTCGTCTTGCGAATATGCTTGTATGATCCATCGATCGAACACATATGATAGGCACAATAACTTGAGCAGAAATCTAAAATGACCCGAAATCAGAACAGAAGTCAATCGTATATTTTACAGTGGAACCAACTAGTCAGTCATAACCACCGCAGACAACGAGTCGTTGCATCCAAGTTACTGAGACCAATTTTAAGTCGAACCCGTGTTTCTGACCACTAGTCGAAGTTATCCTATGGTGGTCGAAGTCTACCAGCACATCTTAGGCTATTATTTTGTAATTTGAATCATATTTGATAAGACGTCAGGTCCGTAAAGTTGTACTGATCCTACAGTTAACAATGACACATCTTCAGTATTGGGTTTTGGAAGTTGTTGAGTTTTGATTGAGGTCATGAGTCAATCAATGTCAGTGTACTAGTATCATTGCTAAATTTCGAATATCTTGAAAATAAAGTCACGCTTAGTAATTTAGTCAGCTTTTTTATCCTTAGTTGTAACTTTCTTTTAAGTTTTAGGTGAGGGAATAAATGTATTGTGATCATCATTGAATTTCAGTTTGTTTTAAAAAAAGCTGGAACGATCTTGATCTTGGTTTTAATTTTTTCAACGTTAGCTTTCTCTATTTTTTAAATCGTAATATTCTATCCAAGTCATTGCATCATTTCAACATTCGTATTACTAACCCTGCTGAATGCCAGCTTGGCTTTTGACATTATCGATGAAATACTCAATTAGTTTCTTTCAAATCAAAGAAGAGGTTTGAAAATATGAAGGCTAAAATTAACACACAGTGGCTTTGTGAATTTTTGCTGTGGACGCTAACATCTATAAATATAAATTTCACACTACAGGACTGGCAAAATGTTTGCTAGGAATTGTGTGCCACTGCCCGACCGTAGCTGCTACCTTGACGTGGTGGTCGGGCTTGCCTATCGTGATGACCCAACCGAGCTATATTGGCTGGAACTCAAGTTCCTGCAGGTTCTACCATGCCAGGCAGGTCGATCGGAGAACGGTAAGACTAAAAGCAGCAACTCAAGGTCTGAGGGCGAAGTCGTACTGCTGACTGTACAGAGGTGTGACAGCAGTAAGGTGTTTCCCTCGGACAACCAGCATCTGCAGCGATGCTGCCTTCTCACAAGGAAGGAAGGGGTTAGAAAAGGTTGACCCTAAAAATGTCACACCTCACCTTACCCCACGGATTTCCGTCTCCGGCGGTAAGGCCCTTTGAAGAACGGAGCTAACACATTAAAAACCTCCCACAAAAAGGCCGTGCGCGACCGGCCTCAAGCAGTTGTCCCTTGGGCTCTGCGGTCACGCACTCAGGTCGCTAAGACCAACACTAATCCGATTTCCTTTTCAGGTCCCCCAAGAAATACCCTTCCACGGTGTGGGCAACCGGGAATTGATATCAGCCCTCATACCCGTAACAGCACACGAGACCAAGTTGGTCACATTCAAATCCTTCCTACACCTCCTAATAACTCTCTTATCTCCACGACTAACCCTTCTCACGTCCCTTTATCACCTCGCCCCGCTAGTGCGAACGATTCGAGTACGCGGAATGTTATTCCTGGTCTCCTGAAACCACGCTCTAAACTACACGTAGGAGCTTTCAACGTCCGAACACTGTGCCCAATAGGACAACAGGCTTCCTTAGCTAAGACTTTAGAATCTCGCTCCATCGATGTGTGCTGCGTCTCCGAAACGCGCACACAGGATCCTACTAGTGTCATTCATTTGACTGCACCATGTCTAAGTAACGAACCAACTCGATTTACGCTTCGTGTATCTGGAAGCCCTGATGCTGCATCCCGTGGCCTCGCTGGCGTAGGTATAGCATTGAGTCCTAGGGCAGAACTAGCTCTCTTAGACTGGATCCCAGTAGACAGTCGTTTGTGTGCTGTCCGACTAAACGGAACAGTAAGGATTCGAAAAGATAGGGACACTCGTCGTTGCCTCTTCGTCGTCTCTGCCTACTCTCCCACTGACTGCAGCTCAGATGATGTAAAAGATGAGTTTTACAGAAAGCTTTCCGGCCTTCTCCGAAAAGCTAGGCGTTCAGATGTAGTAATAGTGGCTGGTGACTTTAATGCTCAAGTAGGTAAACTAAGCGAAAAGGAAAGACACCTGGGTGGATCTTATGGTGTCGCGGCTCAAAGAACAGATAACGGCGACCGTCTGTTGCAGCTATGCTCAGATAACCGCCTGTTTCTTGCAAACACTAACTTTAAGCATAAGGAAAAACATCTTTTGACATGGCGACCCCCTAATTCGTCTCAACGCTGGACCCAAATAGATCACATCGCTTTCAGCCACCGATGGAGGGGCTCGATAGAAGACTGTCGCTCATTCTGGAGCACATGCTTAGACTCAGATCATGCTCTAGTGCGAGCGCGTATTTGTCTACGTCTTACTGGACGTAGGAAACATGCTGCAAGGAAACCCCTTAGGGTCCTACTTAATGATAGTCAAGCTAAGAGTATATTTCAGGAACATCTAGAAAAACAGTTAGGCAGCCATGTAAGTGATGCGCACCACGAGGCAGCATGGAATGACATCCGAAAAGCTGTAGAAACAGCAGTGATGTCTGCAAGTACGGTAAACCATAAGGTTAGGGAGAAACACTGGATCTCAGCAGCATCTACCGCACTGATAGATGCTCGAAAACTCATTCCATCTGGCTCTGAACATAACGAAGAGCGGAGTCAGCTTAAGCGTGAGCTGACTAGAAGCCTGCGCAAAGATCGTGAACAGTGGTGGGTAGCGAAAACAAGAGAGATGGAAAAGGCAGCGGCAATAGGTAACAGCAGGCAACTGTTCAGACTTGTTAAGGAAACCGGTATTAGGAACCCAACTGTTAGCGAAACAATCGCAGAGAAAGATGGACATATTATTCATTCTCAATCCAGGAGATTGGATCGATGGGCAGAATACTTTAGGGATCAGTTCAACTGGCCTTCAGCCACACTTCGGTTTCCCACGATCCCCAGTCGACCTGAATGGCAAGTTGATGTAAGTCCTCCGACTCTTTACGAAGTTGAAAAAGCTACAGGAAATCTGAAGCGTGGGAGAGCAGCAGGTCCTGACAGGTTCACCCCTGAGATTTTTAAGGATGGCGGTCCAGTATTAGCAGCGAGATTGACTGAGGTCTTAGGTAGAATCTGGGAACTGGACGTAATCCCATCTGACTGGTCTCAATCACTGATTATACCAGTCTATAAGAAAGGACAAAAGTCCTCCTGTGACAATCACAGAGGAATTAGTTTGACTAATATAGTGTCTAAAATATTAGCTTCAATAATACTTCGACGTCTAACCAAAGCTCGTGAAGAGCAGACTAGAGAAAACCAGGCTGGTTTTCGACCTGGACGTGGTTGCATTGATCAAATATTCACATTACGTCAGGTCCTAGAACATAGACACACATTCAGACGTCCCACAATGGTAGTATTTCTCGACCTTAAGGCGGCATTTGACTCTGTTGATCGTAAGGTTCTATGGCAATGTTTGTCACTGAAGGGAGTACCAAAGAAGTACGTCAACCTTATAAAGGCTCTCTACTCGAACACAACTGGTCGAGTGAGAGCTTATGGTGAACTGTCATCAGAATTGATTACCTCAAGTGGTGTTCGTCAGGGCTGTCCACTCTCTCCATTCTTGTTTAACTTTGTCGTTGACGTCCTTTTAGAGATGACACTTTCCTCATCTAAATTTCCAGGAGTTGAACTTCTACCGGGAGATCCACTTGTTGACCTAGAATATGCCGATGACATAGTTCTATTTGGTGAAGACGCTGACAGAATGCAGAGTCTGTTGACCACTCTAAGCAACAATGCAAGCCTATTCGGCATGCGATTCTCTCCCTCGAAATGCAAAATGTTACTTCAGGATTGGGTTGCGTCGACACCCGGACTAGTGATAGGGAGTGAAGTAGTTGAGCGTGTCGACCGCTTCACTTATCTCGGAAGTCTCATCAGCCCTTGTGGTTTGGTGTGTGACGAAATCTCAGCACGGATACAAAAGGCTCGACTAGCTTTTGCCAACTTGCGTCATTTATGGCGTAGGCGAGATATCCGTCTATCAACCAAAGGACGTGTTTACTGCGCAGCAGTTCGTTCCGTCCTACTTTATGGCAGTGAAACATGGCCGGTAAGAGTAGAGGATATTCGTAGGTTACTAGTATTTGACCATAGATGTCTTCGAAGCATTGCTCGTATATCCTGGGACCACCGAGTAAGTAACTCAGTTGTTAGGAAACGGGTACTAGGTAAGGATGGAAAATCAATTGAGGAAGTAGTGAAACTCAATCATTTGAGATGGCTGGGACATGTGTTGCGCATGCCCGACCACCGACTGCCCCGACGTGCTATGTTTTATGGTGTAGGAGTAGGTTGGAAGAAAGCTAGGGGCGGCCAGACCAAAACATGGCAGAAATCCATGAAGTCACTGACAAGTGGACTGAGTCATGTTGGTAGGTGTAGACTACCTGGTTGGGAACCGCGAGATGATAGCAACCGATGGTTAGAGACCTTGAATGACATGGCTCAAAATCGTTTGCAATGGCGCAGGTGCATCCACTCTCTGTGTTCTCTCAAACTCTAATCTTCTGAATTCTTCATGTCCTTTATTTTCTTTCCCAATTTGTTCCACTGGACTATACTCCTTTAATAACATCATCAAACCTTAATGTCCCCTATCTGTACTTATACTTTCAGTACCTCTACCACTATGGGATTTGAATCGATAACTGAATCTCTGTGCTAATGTGGTATGGCAACTCGAACTGATGTACGTACGTACGAAGTTCCACGTTGTTACTGACTGACTGACTGACAATGTCAGACCATCATTGAAAACCTGGACGGCCGTTTCGCCCTAGTGTGGGACTCCTAAACGATGCGCATCTATGGTTCCGCACAGAAATGCTTAACCTCTAAACAACTGAGCAGGCATCGAATCGTGTTAATGTCTATCTTCAACCAATCTACGATATTGCGCGACCATCTTCCATTATCTTCGATGGGTGACTGATTCACACTTGAACTCTACTGGTCATGGCTTCTCACTAGAAATTCGGGAATTACCTCTCACAGCTAGTCACTAGTGAGCACATAATAATTATCAGTATGAGGTTGTGGAGGATTTTTAGTTTTTATTGAGATCATTGATCGACTCATGACCTCAATAAAGACATTATTTTGCTAATCCATGTCACGTCTTTGAGTTGTGCACCTAGCCTTAGTGTTAAAAAACTGTAATCGGTATGAAAACCGTTTTGTAAAACATGCTTCATTCACTGAAACCGGTGTTTTGGATAGTAGCCCTCACTGAAGTATAATGTCCACCACTTTCAAAAACCGTTGAGCCTTTTTATTGCTTACACTGAATGTATAAAACCGCTGAAAACAAAGACGACTGAGCAGATTCTCTGAATAACCTCAGCCCAAAGATACCAGACTCTAAATCATATTGTAGAATTATTTGAACAACAGTTTGTGAACGTTAAATTTTGCTATATTAAGATAGAATACCGTTGAGATGTGTATTACTTGTGGAAAACTGAACCATTTTAACGTGTATTAAAGCTAAAGTCCAATAGTGCGTGATAAACAACTTGGTGTAAACTTGTACGAAAAAAGACTACTCAGCTTGACGTTGTGGAGGGACCAGAATGTTCGGTGTCAACGACTACTTGGATCTATATAAGCGGAAGATGAAATGTTAAATCCAATACATCTTTTTTTAGAAGAGAAATCCCCCGGCATCTTTTGAAGGATGGTGAAAATTCGATGAATTGTCTTCATTACTCACACCAAATTTCCTAAGGGAACATCCCTAATATTTCGTCAAAGTTCAACCTTGGTTTTTATTTTTACCGGAAGGCGTTTTGTGGAGATTTTAGTAATTCCAACAGTTGAAATCATGAGTCAATTGAAGTTAGACCACCATGGAAAACCTGGACAGCTCAGTGGTCTGATGGACAGGCGCTCGCGCTCGAGACTGATAGTTTCTGGGTTTGAATCTTGCGGGGGTTGGGGGCGTGGATGCAAACTGCAGACGGGTCCCACACTAGGACGAAACGGCCAGCCAGTGACTATAGGTTTTCCATGATGGTCTAGCTTCAAATGACTCATGATTATTTATTTTTATTTGCACGGTGCCGAGGAGCATTGGTATTAGGAATAACAATTAATAATTACTGAATACCTGCACTCCTAAAAACGAAATAACTGACTAATTATCAAAAATTTATTATAGCACTTCAAAGTAAATGCTGTTTAATACAGAACAGATACACTTACAATAAAATATTTGAGCGAGAAGTAACCCACCTTTTGTGACATCCGCTGGTGTTCAATGGCTCAAATGGTTCTGAGCGAAATGGAAGGAGCTTTTGCTTAAAGAGCTACCATATTTACTAGAATTGGACCACCAAAGTTTTCAGACAATAAACTAGGTGTATTGACGATAAGAGAGAAACAATGGCAAATTATAGCAAAATACCGTCCTTCGGCCTTATGATTATGTCAAGTTCTCTCTAAAGTGACTCCCGATAGATCTCTTGAAATAACTAAGTCGACAGCGGGTTCCAGAATTTAACTAGTCTTAACGAGCAGTAAGTGTGCCTACAGTCCATTCTTTTGTGTTGTATCTGCAGTTTCTGGCTGCTACCCCTAATTTTGTGTTTGGACTAAGCTTAAGTAGATGTTAAAAGGGATGCCTAAGAGTGTTTAGGATGCTACAGGTCATTAGAAAATCACTCTAATGGGTAATAGTCCAGTGATTGTGGACGCCCTTCACAAGGATTGAATTTGAGTCTACGAACTGATTTCGTCGTTGTATATGTTCTAGAGAATTCTTATCCTTTTGGAATGAGATGGAAATATTCTTTCTACGCTCTATACAGGGTCGAATAAGACTTTTGAAGGTTAAGCCGAAAGTTCTTTAGTCGAACTGGCCGAAAATACTCCTCATTTCTATCGATGCGAGGTTTTCCCAAAAGCATTTTTGTCGCGGTTATCATCCTAAGATGCCTACACTCCTGGATCCTTTTCAATTTAGAACACCTCTAGGGGAGAGTTTCCTAAATTGTGTTCGTGGTCTGCAACATGTCTCAGATGGACTGCTCCACACTTTGAATTTTTCAAAGGTAAGTTCGTTGTTGTCCACCCAACTTTGAAGTTCAGTTAGATTCTCCTTAAGTACCAATTTTTCCTCTTCGTCGCATAATTCACATCAGCGAAAAATAAAATATCTGACGTTACCTAATGTGATAGGAAGTTTTTATAAATTAAGAAAAGGTCCTAGTACTGAACCCTGAACGACCCCACTAGGACATTTCATAAACCGAGAGAGTTATTTCTGACTTTAAAATGTCGATTAAGCAGTAAATGATGAAGTGAGGCAATCAATGTAATGTAATTTGATACCTAATCATTCGAGATTATTGGTATAATATATGAGACTGACCCTACCAAAGCTTTTGAAAAGTCAAGATATGTGACACCAACCTTCTCCTTGAGATCAAGGATGGCTGTCCATCAGTCCACTGAAGTCAGTAGGTTGGTCATAAAAGAGTGACCTTTTCTAAAACCGTGACGGGGTGAAAAGAAGTTTATAGATGGTAGACAGTCACGTAAACCACAACATATCAAAGACTCCATAATTTTCGAGGATTAAGAGAAATGTTCGCTGCATCGACCTCCTTTGAAATTTGGTGTGATATGACCAGCTTACGGTTTTTCAGTTATTTACCTCGACTTAGAGAGTGTGACAATATCACGCTAAGAGGTATTGCCGAGATTGAAACTGCCTTCCTTAGCATAGCAGAGTGAACCATATCCGGCCCAGTAGAAGTGTCCCCTTATAGATGCTGCTTTTTCCACCTCACCAAATCAGCGCTCAGCTTCACTATTGGGAGTCCTGTTTAGTTGCAGGTTAATGCCCGCATCAGTATATTTAGTATGGATGAGTTGAAATGTCCGAAAGTGCTGTCCAGCCAGAAGGTCGGTGGCGTGACCACCGTTGTTGTTTGGGCCTAGAGGTTGATAAACTGCGGTTTTGACTCGTCGAAGAGAGGCTGTATGACGGAATAAGCTTCAGAGATGGGAGACAAATATATCGATAAGCTTTATCTGATAATGAAGCCTATCTTCTCTTATTGCCTTTGCGCATATATGTATATATTTATATATATATATATATATATATATATATATATATATATATAATCTGAATCGCCTATATGCGCCGTTGTTATCAGTTCGTTTTAATTCCGCCTAGAAGTGCCTCTTACGACTTAGCAAACAAAGAGTGCGGTTCCTGATGACTGTAGGTTGCTTGTGGATTTTGAGGACCGTTAGCGGGACAGACTGTCATATAGCACACACGACTGTGTGCAGTAAGAAATCCCAATGAGCATCCACATAAGTTGAGTATGAACATCTCAATCCACTCACCCTAGTTTTTCCTATAAAGCTGACCCATCTAATTGTTTTGAAATCCAGCTCCTGTTCATTGCAGGATATCTCAGCTCAGTTTTACAGTTTCCAGGCTGTAACGAAGGCAAGGAAAACGATGCAGAGACGGTAATTCGTGAGTAATACATTATGACGATTGTGGTCTCTAAGGTCTGGGAAGCTTTCAGGATGAAGAAAACTTGTCATTAAAAGAAGGAATTTGCTTGCATATTAACTTTTTAATTTTTCTGAAGACAACTTACAGATTGCTGTACTGGAGTCAAACTAGGACGTTTGTGTTGTATGACACCGCGTATTTAGCACATTACGCACTCTCATCAAGTCATTACTTGTTTTTCTGTGACCCAGCTGGAAAAACCCCTTTCACGAAAGCAAACTTCAAAGAATTTGTAACTCAGCTTTAATAGCCACTTTGTCTTTTACCTCTGCACATGTTCTTAGTAATTTGTATCTATTTTTTAAGAGAAAATGAAGGAAAACAACATTAAGCATTGATATTGAAAGTTTGTGGTTAGTAGTCCTAGATTTTGCTGTGTGTAAATTATGGGGAAAAGATCACCACAGAGGACGTAACTTGTTTGTGTTCTATGTAACTTCATATCCATAACTTTACGTTTCAGTAGCCTAAATTGGGGTCTGTGATCTAGTTTTATATAGGTCGTAAATGAAAATCTAGGAGGTGAGTGGTCGTGTAGTGGCTGCTTCTTAAACTTCTGAATTTGAGGCTTTCCAGCTCACGTGAATCCTGTTTACTAAGAACCTAATGACCGTATTGTTACACTAGATACAAACCAAAGCAATAAAATTACCGTTCCTTCAGTCTCTCCCTATCAGGGAGTGATGAAGAGATTTAAGTTTTTTCTAAGTAATGGAAGATCTCAGGGCCTCTATGTTTTTTCACCAATATCATCAAGAGGCATAGTTTAGGCAACCACCGAAAATCAGAAAGCATCGAAAAGACATTTCGTTATAGTACGAGACATACCGGTAGTGTGCACTCATGAACACATAAGGGAACGAATCCGTAACCTCCGGGTCTGTGGGAGAAATTTTTGGAGTGCCCTTATTTATAAAAATTTGTATTCGCGTACAGGTTGATTCCAACAAGACACGTGGTATTTAGTAAAAAAGGTAAATTGGTAAAAGTGCGCCTACATGGTACAGATCTGCAGTAATTTGCTTCAAGTATGAACATACTAACTAGTGTGCGTGTTTATTGTCTAAAATGACCTCCCAAGCCTATGCAACTAAAATTATCCCTTTAATTCTAGATTCGCCTGGCATGGTTTCGACTACACTTGAATAAAAACATAACAAGTCTTACTCCTCCCTGAAAACGGGTTAAAATCTGTGAGGGTGAATCGCGACCTGTCGGAATTTGCATAACCTGACACCGTGCGGCAGAATGTATACATTCGTAATATAGAGTAGTGGGGTTGAAACCTTGTAGGTTTCAAGATCCGCTGTAATTCAACTGTCTCACCTTGGCGGTAAGACCACAGTGCCAATACAAGGTCTTTCATTAGTACTGTTATTAACAAACGATTAGTTTTGCTTTACTGTGTTTAATAATACTCTTAGGAAAATTATTAAATCATGGGATGGTTACAATATTCTTTTCCTCTTACCTTATCTTTTGAAGTAATGTTGGTTGCTCTTCTGAAAAGACTGAGGGATACGGAAGTTTTTGCACTGAATAAACGTGCTGAGTTAAAATCAATATACCGATTCGAATGTGTCGGTTTTCGGGATATAGTTAGATTACCATCAGGGTTCATTTTAACTAAACAGTCTAAGAATGGTGGTTCACTGTGTTAATCTTTTTTGAAAGTCGATTTGATGTTTTCTTAGAACGTGCTTATCTGTTTGGAGAAATTTTTAAAGTCTTTTTAGTAATGACAAATGTGTCAACTAAATATCAGGGCCAGATGTGTGGTTTGATGGTACTGGCAAAAATAAGCAACTCAGTACAAAACACTATAAATAAGCAACAATGGGAGATACTGGAAATCACATGGCTGCTCCATTCGTTTGTTTATATTAAATCCCTTTGGAAGTGAATGGTGTTGAATTGAAGTATAGTTTGAGTAATTTCATGATTGAACTAGTATTTAATGGACAACTGCTAGATAAGATATTACGATTCTCTAATAGATTTTTAAAGAAGTCTGGACATTTATCAGCTGGGACTTAAGTGTATAAAGATACAACACCACAGCTTACTGTTGTTCTGTTCTTGTTGATCGATAATACCGAGATCTCCGGCTTGAATTCATATAAATCCTTTACGACATTAAGTCGTCTGTGTTGAACTGGCTTCAATATACTGCCTAGATATTTAGATAGAGCATACGTGGGAGTATTTGTGAAGTTCACTATGGATCTTAAAGTAGTCGCATACTAGTGAATTTCGGTAGCCCATAAAAAGATGAGGTTGTATTGGATTTAGGGTATAAAGTAAACTATAGGGAAACGCCAATAGATGACTTTAGCCCTTTCAGAAGTTCACTTGTTTTTGATTAGACTTTATTTTTAACCACTTAAAACTTTCAAATCAACCTCTAAATATGCCCCCGTTAATAGATGTTTAAGAGCTTTTTCCCGATAGTGGCTTTCGTTCCTGATCACTGTTTTATTCCCTTTCTCAGCTTTGATGATGACAATTATTCTATCTTTCTGTAATGGATGTAAAGCTTTCCATTCTTCTTTGGAGACATTATTTCACCTGTTTTATATGTATTCAGGAATATTAAACCTTCATGTTGAGCATACATTTAGCTGCGCAATATCTTACAAATCTAATTTTTGACAAACGAAGGAAAAGCTACACTTTCAATCTATTAAATGACCGTTTGAAAACAGAATGACATCTTACTGATGGAAGTACTCTGTAAAAGTCGTCTAAAAGACTGGTTGACCACAACAATGAAGAACAAAGTTAACGCAACCGAATGGCGTAGACCAACTAGAAAGTGATGGGAATAGTCAACAACAGCAACAAAAATAAGTCTTCATTAACACACGGCTTACAATGACTTCCTCAGTTGTGCGCTATATGGGTTGGGATGCATACCAAAAAAGACCAATCGACAACTACGTGAAAACTCATCTAACGAGCGGAATTCACAGTGGAACATTAGAACGTAGATTTAGCAACCATACAGCGTAGGTTCGTAGACAAATTAACAGAATGTAGCAGTGTTTGAGTAAAGCGAAAAAATGAAGTGGTATGCATAAAATTGTGATATCGATCGTTTTGTAAAAACGGAAAATAGGGTGTAGGAAAAAAAGAACTACCTTTATACTCCACAAAAGTCCTGTATATTTTTAAATATAGACACATTACGAGAGTTCAGAAGTGTTTAATTGTCTAACAAGTATATAAGATTATCAATGTTTTTTTCAGTAACAATGTATTGATCAAATTAACACTGATCGCAATGCTGGAAATCAGTGAATAATCAAAATCCGATTTACAATTCTGCTTCATCTGGTATTTCGGAAGTGAAAGCTTCACGATTTTCATGGGCCCAAAAACCTTGGAGATCAATCAATATGTTTATTACGGTGTCACCCTTACCACTGTATATATAAATATGAACAACAACTCCAAATTATAAACATATATGGGAAGAAAAAATATATAAGATAAGAACAGAAGCGAACAACCAATCAAATAATGCTTTTCGATAGGAAGTATTATAAAAGTTTAAAAAAATACACTCAACGAAGTGGGATCGCAGACACTCATTGTAAATAAAAATAACCTAGTGCTTACTGACTCACTGAACATATACCAGTGATCAGGGTCATTTTGTAATGACTACTGTGAGCTGACTGGCTAGTCAACAAAGTATCGAATACAAGTGCTAATTCGTCAGGGAGAAAAGCGACATTTAGAAAATGATGGATCTGTTTTACCGCACTAAAACATGCCAAGTGAACCAAACAAACGAAATATTACCCTAACATAATGGGAATCTGTTATTTCTCGTAGCATAGTGTCCATAGTTTGTTGGAAGATTGAAGGGGCGGTCTTTACTGCAAACGGAATTCTGTTATATCAGAACAAACCTTTATGCGTGTTTGTTGTCAAGTAATGCTTGCACTCTTCCGCTGCTGGAATCTGTAGATAAGCTTCTGACAGATCTAGTTTTGCAAAATACTTCTTCCCATTCAGTTTCGTAAATAAGTCTTCTAGTAACGACAAAGGGTACTGATGGGCTTCAAGTGCTTTTTTTAATCCAGTCGAATAATCTGTACACAGCCGGATACTTCCATTAGGCTTCTTAACAATCACTATTGATGTTGCCCAATCATAAAAATTCACTGCTTTTATGATTCCACTTCTTTGCAGGCGTTCTAATTTTTGTTCAATAATAGGTAGTACTGAATAAGGTACCGGATGTTTTGGTCTAAAAACGGGGGCGACTTCCAGTTTAGGAATTAGTAGTGCTTTTACCTTTTTACATTTCCCCAACTCTTCCGTGAACACTTGACTATGTCTTTCTAACACAACATCCCTCAGATTCTTTTCTGCTGGTTTGTTGGTTTTCACGCAAATGGCGTATGAACCAATCGTTGGTCACCGGCTACCATGGGACTGCATCTCCTCACCATGCTCCACTGCCTTGTGGATCAGACAATCAGGTCGGAGGCTTGGGGTGTGGCCCCCCAAGAAAACCACCTGCTTCGGTTTTGGCACCCGGGAAGTATCACAGCCCTCGCATATATCAAATGAGATTTATGTGGCGCATATGTATTTGGTGCCTCCTTGTACCAATATCTATGTTAAAATAAATAAATAATAAATGGTTCTCACGCAGCTGCACACGTGGTTGATGGAGTGGTTCGCTAGCTGCAGTGTTTCTATTAGGTCTAGACCCAGCAAATCGAGTCCTGGATTCTCTGTAAGATATAATGTTGCATTCGTCTTCGCATGCCCTTTTGAAACTGTACAGCAAACCTCTCCGGCAATATTTAATTTCTCTCCAGATGCACTATGAGATAACTGGATTGTTGGTCCTGTCTAGAGGCCACAAAGAATCCGACTAAAGCTGAACCACAACCATGGCCGAAACCGAACGGGCCTTGGCAAAGAATACACGCTGATTTCGCCGGTCTAATACAAAGCAGAAATTACTTCCTTGTTGTCGATGCTTTCACAAAACGACCAGAAGTATATGACATAGCGAAAACGACATCAGAGAGTACAATAAGATTTTTAGGATTGTTTGCTTGTTTTTTGGCCCCATACATCTTAGTGACTGACAACGGCACTCAGAACACATCATCTGTTTTTAAACGGTTTTGTAGTGAAAATGGAATATCGTATCTACAGTCACCCCTGTACTGTCCCTCAGTCGAATGGCCAAGCAGAAAGATTCGTGGATACGATGAAAAGGGCTCTGCTCAAAGGAGGAGAGGGCATCCAAGAACAAGTGATAAGTAAGTTCTTAATGTCTTACAGAATAACTCCCAATCCGGCAGTATCAGAAGGAAAGTCGCCAGCCCAGTGCATATTCGGAAGGAAAATTCGGAGAGTCTTTAACAGTATGTTGTCGCCCAGAAAGACTAAGAGACTCACGAATGAGTATCATATGGTCACTTGTAGCTTCCAAGTGGGCGAAAGGGTACTTGTCAAATCGTATCAAGGTGATATAAAGTGGGAACCAGGTGTTATAGAACGTCGGATCGGAAATGTACTGTACTTAATCCAGAGAAATGTCGGAACGTGTATAAGACACGTAAATCAAATTCAAAGGGATGGAAGAACATTGATCCCACAAAGCCGACTCCCGTTTCGATTGCTCGCGGATTCATCTCAAAAAGCCCTCAGGAGCGCGAACATAGAAGAGATAAAAAAACGCAAGTGCAAAGCGGTACAACCTTCGGGAACAATGAACCGCAAGAGGAATGCGGTAACCAAGTGGACCCGAGGAAAACGTCTTACACGATAGACTTTAAAGAGGGAAGGTGTGAGGACGGTCCACGGGTGAACTCAAGGAAGCTCTTAAAGAGCCGAAGATATCCCATCCATTCATTTTTTTGAATATTCCAGAATCTCTACGTGAATCTTCCCTATTGGACAAATGTTAATAACCCCCTGTATGCGGATCGGAGGACTATAATGGTGATTTCGTTTTTACTAAAAACTATAAATACCTGACAGTTTTGTACTATAAGTGATACTGTTTGGAATAGCATTCCTTTCACTTGTCTTCTGTGTCCTCATTCGCGACTTCAGGAGGTTCTAGCGTTCGAGTGCTCAAGTTATACGCGGTATATTAAGAATCTGAGCATAAGATATAACAGAATCGAAAAATTTCGAAATATTCGTCTAATGCACTACTATTCCAATATAAACGTGATAAGTCCATGAAATACATATTTATAGTAAATACGATTTTGATTAATTGTTTAGCCATAGTTCTAGTAATTTATTAAGTCACAGTATTCCTACTAGTTGTATATCTATAAATTAGTGACTGGTGAGTGCTAAATTCCTATTAACATGTACATATATATACTCATACTAAATTCAGTGATTTACCATTCAGTAAATACAATATTTTTAATTGCAGTTGGCATTTTCTGAACCCATATATATATATATATATATATATATATATATATATATATCACCAAAAGATATACGAAACTTCAGCTTTTTAAAAACCAGCATCGACTTACCAATTGATAAGGTCATCTAAGGTGATGTAATGGGGATTCGCTGGTCGTACCATATCGAAGATTTCATTTAATACATTTTCAAAACTTGGTATATCATTATCTGAGGCACGTAGTTTATCTTCGATTCCATCGTAGAAATACCGCAGTGTTAGTGAAGTCAGTTTACCTTGACCACCAACATCAAGAATACGAAAAAGATAAGCAATTGCTTGCGGCTCATGTTTATTTTCCATAGCCAAAACCAAATCTAAATAAGTTTTGTAGTCCTGGTAAAGACGTAAAAAATGACTTTTGAGTAGGAAATCATAACGCTACTGTGACAAATTATAACAATTGCGTATGGATTTCATTTGCGACAATCCAACAACCTCACAACTAAACACTAAGGATAATGACTAAATATATAACTGGTTTTAATACAACTAGGTGACCAAGTACAGTGCCATGTAGCTCGGGGCTATAATGCACCATTTTTTCGTGATGAGAGGTGGTACCACGCAAATCCTCAAAGTAAAGTAGGTGGGGAAAGTGTAAACCCGAAACTCTGTGGATGAAAACATAACGCCTTATTTACAAAACTACTATTCCACAATAAATACATATAATACTTGGTCAAAAACATATCTGAGTTACTGACTACTGCGTAATATACACCTGAGGTGATATTTGCCCATTTTAAATGGTTTGATTTGATTAGAACAAATAAAAGACTAAGTATGATAGGCACTCAAATTAAATCAAGAGCCACACGTTTGTGTGAGGGTAGGTGATACTACTTGGCTAGCCAAGCCAAGGTAGATGAGGGAAAATGAGAAACAGTAAATATAAGAAATTTAGTCGGGAAGGAAGGAATGAAGTCGTAAAACAAAAAGAAAACTATAGAAAAGCAGTAAGCTGCAAATTGAAAGGAGGATAAAAAACGAATAAAAAGTACCCAAACATAAATAAAGACTATGATGTGGGTTCCAACAAAGAAGTCTGAACTTCTTGACTTCTCATCCAATAGTTAGTGACTTTAAGGATTAACATTAATATTGGTCACTTAGTTCCTAGTTTTTTCTAGCTTCATCAGTTAACTTCGAGAGAGCAGGAATAATCTTACATGCGTTTGGATTTTTAGCACCTATGTACAACGAAGAGAAGATGAAGTTTAAGAGAGAATGATGATAACAGGGTTAAGAGGAAGTTAAAGTAAAGAGAAAGGTTTCAGGACGAAGAAGATGGAATCGAGTAATGATTACATACTATATTTTAGTGAGTGGTTGTTTTTGTGGCATTAGTTCGATACTTTTTAAGAGTTTACCACTGGTGAAAGTAACCCATCCTTTTGGCCACTAAATAGTAGTATCACTAAGCATACCGTTTATCTAATAGAAATGCTGTAATGCAAGTAATCATAAGAAATGATGACAAACTCCCTACGTAAGATAACACTGAAATATGCATTTATTTCTGAAAAGTAAAAATATCATAGAATTATTATTACAGTAATATTTAAATGCAAATTTAGCAAATAAAAAATAAACTAACCATTTCACCTTCATAAGTTAAACATTCTTGAAATACACGATCGAGAAATACGTCAGTCAATGTACCATTTCCAAATCTTTACAACAAATTTAGAAAAATGGTATATAAATCGATACTCTTCGATAGCGATAAAATAATACACTAACCGAACTTTACAGTCAAATGCTAATTTTTACAGATCGCTTCAACATCTTCGTTGCTGATATCAATCGAAGTCAGCGGACCACATGACAAACAATCATTTAAATTAATGGTTCGAAAATGGCAGAACCAAAAATCAAATCAGTATAGTCTCAAACAGGAATAAAAAAAGACGGATATAGAGAGAAGTTTAAAGGATCCGCAAAAATATAGCAATATTTAATGTTTAGATCCCATCAGTGATATAGAGAAAATGAATTTGCATCATTACAGTTGAGCACACTTACAATTTAAATTTTCGAAACAGACTTTGAGTTTCTCACACACACTTACTCTTAGACATCATTCACTTGCCTAAGTTGGATAGTAGTTAAATTTGTAGTGGTGACTTGATTTAAAAGACTTTATCCGTTAGGCAAAACTATATAAGGGTGAAAAAGATCATGTTGGTGCTATTTCACAAATAGGTAAACACCACAGAAAGTGAGACATAGAACTTAATCTTACTGATATTTTAGTTTCCTATTTGTAACAAGGAGAGAAGTTCCTGCATCTAATCTAGTTTGAGATTATAGTTGAGTAAAAATAAAGAGTTCCGAGTGAAGACGAACAAGTAATTTGGTGCTCCTGGATCGTCAACGGTTCTCAAACCCAAGTCAGTTCATGATTAAAATGAATAAATAAAATTAACAAATCTTCATAATTATGAGACCGAATAGACCGTAATATATTCCTACGTCAATTGTTTGGAAAAAAATTGGCAGGAAGTCTTGGGTCTGGTTTTGAATGGTTACTTATTTATTTGAACACATGAACCTTGGTACAAGAGGGCACTAAATACATATGCGCCACACAATAACAATGAGGTTGTGAAGAGATAGAGGTAAATTGTGTATAATAAAAACGAAGAACAACGATGGACAGAAGTTAGCGTATGAGTAAGTAAGTAATAGTGAGGTTAGACGTAGGGTATTAGGTAATGATGGTAAATCAGTTGATGAGGTTATGAATCTTCATCGACTGAGATGGTTGGGTCACGTGTTGCGTATTCCTGAACACCGATTACCACGACGCGCAATGTTTACTGGTGTTAGGGATAATTGGAAGAAAGTTAGGGGCGGCCATACCAAAACGTGGCATCAGTGCTTGAAGTCACTAACTTCTGGTCTGAGCCATGTTAGTAGATGCAGACTACCTGGTTGGGGTCCGCGTGACTATCGTAACTAATGGTTGGAGACTCTTCGTGACATGGCTCAGAATTGATCACAATGGCGTAGGTGTATACACTCACTGTCTTCCTTCAAACTAAGAGATTAAAATCGCTTTATATCTTTCTTTCTACGAACTAATTCTTTCTTCATGTACTATCTCATTATATCCAATCTTTCTTCTATATATTACAACCACTGAATTAACTACTTCCATGAATCCGGTGTTCATCTTGTTGTGCTAATGCAGTATGGTAACTTGGACCGATGAATACATGTGCCTGGTCCTACGTTGCAGCTGACTGACTGAGCGTATGAGTCAAATAATAAAAATAATAATAATAAACATTTCAGTTAGCAAGAACATAAACAGAAAGAATGTTTTCAATCAAAGAAGTTACGTTCGTTGTTTATGAACATAGCAAAAGAAGGTTGAAATAGGATCTCCACTGGCTTCTATTCTGAGCCATGTCTGATAACGTCTCTAGCCACTATATTGCATGATTTCTAGGACCCCAGCCAGGGAGTCGTGAAATACCAACAGAAGCCAGCCTTTTGCAGCCTTCTTTCATACCACGACAACATGTCATATACTGACCACCTCTCCACTTTTTACAACCAGTCCCAGAGTCGGCAAATAATGCACGATGAGGAATTCTCCGGGACGACATTAGTAAGACATAACCAAGCCACAGAAGTTGGTGCTTCAGGATGGTGACACTGATTGAATTATCCTCGCTGTGCCCGAACACACGATGCTGAACCTCCGCATTACTAACATGGTGTTGCCACTGGATGTCAGCAGTTCTTCGGAGACAACGACGATCAAACACAGAAAGTCGTCTAACATCCTCAACTCGGAGAGGCCAGGTTTCACAAACATACAGCGAAATTACTCTCACCGACGCATTGTAGATCCGACCTTTTACAACCAGACTAACATCACGAAGGCGCCAAAGATGACCCAGATTGTAGTAAGCCGCTCTGGCTTTCACTATACGTGAATTGATCTCACCACTCACGCCACCACCAGCACTTACTTATGCAGCTACCCAGATACACGAACTTCTCGACTACTTCTATCTGCTCACCATCCAGAGTGAGTACAGGATTAGAATCCTGCCAGTCTTGTAGAAGTACTTTACAAATCACCAGGCCCAGACGACTTACCTCCGGCTCTTTTTAAAGATGGTGGTGACTTTCTGACTAAGGGACTGACGACGTTGTTTACAAAGGTCTGGGAACTAGAGAGTGTACCAACGTCATGGAATGAGTCGATAGTTGTCCCTATCTTTAAAAAGGGTTCACGTCGTTTCTGTAACAACTATCGGGGGATAAGTCTACTTCCGATTGCGTCCAAGCTATTGGCTTCCATTATACTTCGTAGGTTGTTCAAAACCCGAGAAAGATTGACTCGTGAGGAGCAGGATGGGTTTCGTTCTGGTCGAGGATGTATTGATCATATCTTCACCCTCCGCCAAGTGTTAGAACACCGCCATACTTATCAAAGGCCAACAATCGTAGTGTTTCTTGATATCAGGGCTGCCTTCGATTCGTTGGACAGAACTGTTCTCTGGGATTGTCTATTGAAGAAGGGTGTGCCTGAGAAGTTTATTAACATCTTAAAGGTCCTATATACAAACACCTCAGGCAGAGTGAGGGCATATAACCACCTTTCTCCATTATTCGATTAGAGCAGTGGGGGTTAGGCAGGGTTGCCCAATCTTCTGTAACCTTCTTCCACTTTCTTTGTAAAGAGTGGTTGCTTCTTCCTCAACTGAAAGATTTCTCCTGATTGTACCTTTTCGTTTCCCCCATACTTTACACTAATCTGGTCTTTATTGTTTTTTCTCCCTTCTCTTTAAATTCCTCATTTTTTTGTGGCGCATATATATTCGGTGCCCCTTGTACCAATATTTATGTGTTCAAATAAAATAATAAAATAAATTATTGGATGGTAGCATCGCTGTTATGCTGATTTCCTGAAGGAAACACCTTACTGCCGACACGTCTCTGTACAGTCAGCAGTACGACTTCGCCTTCGGACCTTGGGTTCGCTGCTTTTAGTCTTACCGTTCTTTAACCGACCTATATGGCATGGTAGGACCTTGAAGAACGATTGTTCCAGCCAGTATAGCTCGATTGGTTCATCACGATAGGCAAGCCCGACCACCACGTCAAGGTAGCAATAATGGTCGGGGAAATTGCCTCACTCACACCAGACTTATTGCTGCCAGTGACTTGGATGAGTTGAAAGAGCTTCCAGCAGTTACCAAATGCAGCTGCTGCTTCCAACTTATTGGCGCGCTCCGATCACCAGGCTTCTCGGTCCTTACGCAAGCGTTTCCCAATTTCATTACGTAACAGTCTTCGTTTATGATCAAACTCGCGGTCACTCGGAGTAGATCGATGTGCTTCAATGAGTTGCGAAGAATCTGTAGAAATCGAGTGCTTGTAAGAGGGACGTTTCACGAAGCCGCCAGCGAATTAAATCACCATTTTCATGGGGCCACGTAATTGCAATCAATGCTCATCTATACTTTCCGGTGGGCTGGTAGTCAGCCTTGAACCTAGCTCGGTTTGATACTTGGTTGCAACAAGAGCTGCAACCAATTTACTGACATTGATCCGTTTAGGACGGTGAATCTGTTGACCACTGAAAAGTAAGTTAAGATTAGCACAAACAAGGCAATGGTCAGAGTTCAGACAGGTGCTCGAAAAGGACAGGAAGTCTTGTACACAACCACTCCAGCGGAAGTTGATCACGACGTGATCAATCTGAGTTCAGGCTTGAGGTGCAGAGGCAGGACGCCAGGTAGCACATTGGTGATGACTACGCCGGTAGTTAGTGCTAGCCAGAAACAACTTGTGGTCTGCACACAGTTGCAGTAGACGGTCCCCATTATCTGACCTGCAACCAACAAGTCCCCATTGACCACCTAAACGACTATCTTCTGTACCTAGACGCCTGACCTGAGCATTCAAGTCTCTGGCTAGTACTACAATATCTGTCGGATGCACTTTCTTTAAAAGAACAGTTAACTGATGACAAAACTCATCCTTGATCGTATTCGGGTTACAACCTGTGGGGGCGTAGGTGTAAACGACGAAAAGACATCGTTTCTCAAACTAATGTTTTCGCACTTTGATGGAGTTTTGAATGGTAACAATCGTCAACAGGGCAAACAGAGAACTTTGGAAAAAGCGCATAATTGATTATTCACCTTCTAAACACATTTAATTTACATACCAAAAATTTATCACTAACAAATGCCGCTGTTACAGGTTAATAAACAGGATGTCTAAAATAACTTTAAAAAGTCTAGCATTCCGATTAAAACAGAGATCAAAAGATATATAGTGTTGGATCATACACAGTAAATAATGAGGAAAACTATAGATATAGCAAAGTTAGTGATCTAGATACCGTAATGTGTAAGGTACTGTTAATGATCAGTTACAGACATCATTATTAACTCATGCTTAAACAATAAAGCCTGTATTCGTCAAGTGGTTGGAACCGACAAAAGTGTCCAGTTTAGAAATCGTCACTGTACAAAAAACTAATGACAATGTAAACCTAAAAACCGAATGATCAGGAAGATTAATAAAGTCTTACAGTAAAAATAACCTTTATGAGATGCTAAATGTTATTTATCTTACCGTGATAATTCACTGCGTGTTAACAAGCCATTTCGATCTTCGTCTAATAGCAAATAGCTACCGTAAACACGTACAGCTGATTGATGACTAAACCAATTAGCGGCTAATTGTGCTTCTGATGTAGTTACTTCACGTAATTCAAGCATAGAATCTAGAAATCCACTAGCTAAAATGTCGGTGATACGCACACGACCCGAACGTAAAGGATCAAGGAAAAAAAAGAATTTTCGTACAGCCGTGCATACATAGAATGTTTGGAACGTTGGCTCCAACTCTGATAGCTAAAGTTATTTTTGTGTAAGGAATACAAAAAATTCTTGATATTTAAGAATAGTTTCAAGGGTTTAAAAATTTCATAATTACCAAATGAACGTAGTCCTATGAAACACGGGTAAAATTAAGGTTTACAAGCTAGCAAAAGTTTGAGGGACAATGAAAATAATTCTAACGTACTGTAGTTAACTAAACTTCAGTGTCTGTAAAATGAGTAAAACAGAATTTAAGGGAGCAATGTCTGAGAGGAGGACAAAGTTCGACTTGCACTTCCGCGTAGTGTTTTCTGGATATTGAGTGATCTCTTTTCCCCATGAAATAACGCAAGCGACACAGTAGAGACCGTAATATCTGAAAGGTTTTGAACCATAGGAGTGGCTAGATTATTTAGCTAGAGCTACGTATCACAGTTGAATAATTCATGTGCAATACACTGATCGCATTTATAGAGTAAGAGTAACCAACGAAAAACTGCATTGAGTTAATAAGTGAAATCAAACAACATTGAATGCTGAAGGAAGATCCTGATTATTAAAGAAAATTGGTTGACATGCGATTCTGTGTTAGGGTTTGAAGTTAAATGTTTTCATAATTTATAAAAATCAACCAATACTGGTCTTAGTCTCATTAGTTGATCTTTTAGCAATGTAAAAGCGCATGAATGAGAGCCTCAAGAAGTATGGACTGGCCATTCGGTCGCATCAGATCTATCACCTTATCAGAGTAACACATTTATTAAGAAGAATACTGAAGTCACAGCTTTAACGAAATTCATGAGTACAGTACATAGTTCATTTTTCAAAAACTCAATACATTTTAAGGTATGTCATGTGGCCTAACTAAATAGTATCACCTAAATGGTATCAAGACAATTCCTGCACCAAAGCAGTCATATTCACGATAAAATATAGAATGAACAAATTACCTGACACAAAGTAGGGATAAGTTCCAACATATAGTTTTCCAAATCTGTCTCTCTCAAATAACCTTCACCGCACACATCATAAAGAGATATCCCAACATGGGTTTGTTGCAACCATACTTTCTTCATGACATAATTGAAAAATGTCAAGATATTAATACGTGACAAAACTTCATCTTCACGAAGTAATTTTACAAATGTAGTTGCTGTGAAATATTGCCTAAAATATAATCATTTGTAAATTTTGATTAGCATGTAACTAGACATCTGCAAATATTGCACTCATGAGAAACAAACAAAATTTACAGATATTTAAGATGTAGTTAACGCTAATTCCTGGTTTTAAGTAAAATGTGTAGTTGAGAAGTTAGTAATCACTAGAAATAGCTAGTGTTGACTGATAATCATCATATCTACATGAAAGGATTAAATGAATATTCGCGTTTTATAAGGTTGCGATAAAATGATTTTAGAGCGATTTCGTGAACCTTTTTACGGTTAGTAACGAGTTTTTGATCATTAGTATCTAAGATCGTTGCTTGTGCATGATACAAAGGCCAAATAAATGATCTTTGAGCTACAAATATTTTAAGTAAATCTAACAAAATTCATGTCATGTAATTTTTGCATCTTGTCTCCATTTTGTAATTTGTGTTGTGATATTTAGAAAGGTGGCAAAGTGAACTAACGTCTCAGGTTCTATATCACTTTCACTTTTTTTCTACATTTCTAGGCATTTTACGAATATCTTATTGAAGACTATAAGAGCTTAAATAGCTCGGTATCTGTGAGACTCGTAATCTTTAATTTTAGGTGGATTCTTAAACATGACAAATTATGATCATCCCTATGGAGACTTGAACTGATAAATTTAAATAAGTTGGGTTGGATAGATAATAGTGAGACAACAACGTATTTATAATACTCCAATGAGCAGAAAATAAGACTTCCTGTCCTAATTCGAAAAATTTTATTTTTTTCTCTGAAGAGAGGACCTACACTAAGTTGAAAAAATAGGAGTTAACCTTCTACAAATTATAATAACACAAACGTAGTATCTCATTATCACAAAAGGTATACTTTAAAACTAACTGCACAATAAACTGTTGCTTAAATAAAACGTAAATGTTTAGAAGCAGATTAAACATAGAACCAGTCAAGCCAAAAAAAGCATTTGATACATACTTTGCCTTGGGAGATGCTTCTTTAGATGCCTTGCGAAAATTCTCATAGTCCATGAATTTTTCACCGTTAACTGTAGGAGGTGAATGATAGCGTTCCAAAAGATACCAAAACTCCTTGTACAAAAACAACGTATAACAGAAACTACCTTACTTGAAGTTCAGCATTAGACAACAATCTCAAACTTTTTCTCTCCAACAAAGCAGACCTAAAAATGATCATGACTTGTTTAAATATTTACCTAGCATCCTCCCGTAATTTCGCAGGTAAAATCTCATTATCTTGTGGTACCTACACAGTAAGTTAATAATTGCTTAATATGTACTTACACGTTGGAAAAAATCTGGTATCCCTAAGTTCTCTGATTCATAATCTTCAACTCCACCCCATGCTTTATAATAATGCAGGAACAAATCACTGTGTAGGTTTACTAATGCAAGAAAATGATTGTTAAAGTGAGTTACAAACCATTTGACATTTTAACGCCTGGTAATTACAATGGATGACATTTAACGGTAGAAAGGCTGTAAACAGATATATTGTTTAGTCGGCATCAGATAACTGAAAATCAGAACAAAAACAGGTTAAAAACTAAACTTGTAGAGGAGTAAAACTGATTAACTGGCTTTTATACAGGTGGTCATTGGAAAGAAATAAGGAGACCAGGTGAAAAAAATGAAAGAACATAAGGACTTGAGTATAACAGCATGTAAATTACTACCTACTCAACATATTTAAGTCTATCCGTTGACTGAAAATTTAAAAATTCGCATACATACTTCATCATTACTTTTAACATTATATTAATAAATAAATAAGTCTTCACCTACGGACTTGTATATCTTCTTGCGCTGACATGTTCCGTTGCAATAAGTAGCAGTTACTTCAGTCATAGCATACAGCCATATCAGCAGAAAAAACAGAATTTTTATAAACATAAATTAAGTGAGACTTTAACAGTCTTATGAAATTTAGTACTCCACTTCCACAACATCATATTTAATCGTAATGAAAAAGCATGAATTGATGTTGTAGCGGTAAATAAATTCATAAGTGGAACAATCGACGAGAATATAATTTATGAACGATCTTTGAGCGATATAAAAGTACCTTTGGGGGACCCCGACCACTTGCTACAGTCGAAACACGGACATGAATTCATGTGAGGAATCGAAACTAGATGTTTGAGTTCTAAGATTAGGGATTTAAATTAGGGTTTTCGTCACGACTTGACATCAGTTATGGTTCCGAATGTAATTTTGTTATATGTATGAGTGAATTCTGCACCAAAGTTCGGAAACCGAAATCCTAGATCTGATTTGTTAGGTCAAGAATTAGCTTTTTAATTTCGGGAGGGTAAAACTGAATAATACAGCAGAACAATCTTAAGATCTTGACTTCCTCAGCCAGTCATGAGTCGCTGAAATATAAATGATTTAGAGTGCTAAGATCAGAACAGAGGGTCTACGGATCCTTGCGTCATCGTGATGAAGGTTCTGAACTAAATTCCAAACACCAACTACTAACCCTATTATGACATGTTTCGTGACTTTGAAGATCCTTAATGACCTACCGGTGGATCAGAGGTACATTTCAGGTTTATCACTGACAACAGTAAACTACTATCGCCTGACTACGCATTCCACAAAAAATGTCGGCAGAATTCAGGCATATGGAAGAACCAATCACATTTGAGGGCGAACCTAATTCTTCCATAAGGCGAAAAGGAGTTTTTACACCATGTGTGACGTCATTTCGTAATCTAAATCAAGACAGTTCACATACAGTAGTTCATCATTCACGTTCAACAGGTTTTTTTGCTTTATTTCAGTGATTATGATATGCAGATGATCCTCGGGCGATATAAATAGTCGATTAACCTAAGAACGTTTTTTTTGGCCCATAAAGTGTCAATAACACTCATCTACAAAACTTCCGAAGGAGAACTCTTTTCCTTTGACTCAAACCCAGTTTGTCCTTTGGACAAGGTCATATTTATCCTAACCGCGGTCACCGCCGAGGTTTTAGCCCAAACAACAAAAAATTAACAGTGTTCCTTCCTCTGAGGTCAGTCAAAGCATGTTCAAAACACTCCATCGTTCTTCCTTCATTACTCAAATCCTTATTCTGCATTGCCAGATCCAATACCATATATCATTGTCACGAGCTTGTATAAAATGACTGATTTCTTTGCGCTCGTTTCTTGTTATTTCAGCACAGTTCCAGGTATTTAGTAACGTCCGGTGGATGGTAGTCTAGCCACTCAGCTGACTCTATTCTGGTTTGTTCGTTAATTATTTGTGGATTTATATGTCTTGTACGTGATTGCGCTTGTCATATGTCACCAGGGTTTCTGTATACAGGCAGCTATCACCTTACCAGGTAGAAGACTGGTTAGTTGCACTGTGAAAAGTAAACTGACAACAAAGTGTATTTCATTGGGATTATTTGCTATTGCTCTGTCGACCTAAGTCGACTTTCACATAGGATGCGACTGTAGAGGTAGTTTTCCAAGCTTCATTAGGCCTGAAAAGCCTCAGCAAAGTCTTCCCGGCTTCTGGAGACTGTGTCCGTGGGATGTAACGGACAAGTGAGCCCAGATACGCTTATTATTGTAGTGTTGTGAAGGCTTGTGCTGAGGGGTTGACAATGCTGCTATTGCAGCTGGTATTGATGAGCTTCACCCCGACTACCACACACTAGCTCAGACACTCCGTGAACCATCATGTTAGTTGGCTTTTGGTTGTTTGCTGATCTTCTGTCGACACCTCACATCCCACGTTTTGTCGTGTCTCACTTGGATTTGAGATGATCGCTTGGCCGATGGTCAGTTAAATCTCTTCCATAACGTGTGCTGAGCTATGCTTTCACCGATTCACAACTCCACAGTCACCCTCCGCTCCTTACTCTCAGCAGATACTGAAGTATTGGCAACGATCTGCAGTTTCATTTATGTATAAGATCCAGTTATGGATTTTAGAGTGATGTGTTTAGCTTAGCTACTGTTTCAAGATTTGGATATACTGGTGAGAACTGTCATAATTGTTTCCAGTGGAGTCTTACGACACTCTCGTTCATTCAGCTGGTGTATTTTTTCTACAAAGTAGGCAAACATATCAAAAACATTGTCAAGATATGATTTAAAGAAAATCCACAATACTGTCTAGGTATTGGACTATCGACAGTGAATTCTACTTCTACAACAAACACATTTTGATGGAGTTTTGTTCTCTGAGCTGGATGGTTTGGTCGTATTGCTTTCATCGTTGTCCACGTGTATTGATATAAGTGAGGAGATATCATGCCGTTTGACTGCTAATTGATGTTCATGTAGGCGCAGGTGAAGGGGGCGTCCGCCTTGTTCGATGTAGTGTTTGTCGCAGTTGACACAATTTATTTTGTTATTTCATCCTTTGGTTTGCATAGGATTGACTGTATTGATTTTGTCAGTTTGTGTGCCACACCTATCCCGAAGGTTTTAAGCAGTCTTGTTGTGGTTTCTGATATGCCATTTATGTATGGTAGGGTGATCCGTTTGTTGATTTTTGCGCTTGATTTGTGCTGTGATGCTGCATGTGGTTGGTATTTTTTGATGAAGTTGATTGGGTAGCCATTCTTTTGAAATACTTTCTTTAGGTATTTCTCTTCCTTTCTTCGTGCTGCCAGAGTGGTGCAGTGTGTCTTCGCCCTCTTGAACAAAGTTTGTACGCAGTTGATTTTATGTGCTCTTGGATTGTTGCTATTGTAGTTTAGAATTTGATCTGTGTGGGTCGGTTTCCTATATACTTGAGTTTCTAGTTTTTCTGTGTCACTTCTAGTGATTAATATATCCAAGAATGGTAGTTTGTTGTTTGCCTTCTGTTCCATTGTGAACTTGATGTCATCGAAGACGTTGTTGATCAGTTTGTAAGTGTTTTCTAGCTCATTCTTTTTGACGATAACGAATGTGTCGTCTACATAGCGAATCCAAATTTTCGGCTTGATCACTGGTAATATCGCGGCTTCTAGTCTTTGCATCACTGCTTCTGCGATCAGTCCTGATATTGGTGACCCCATTGGTGTCCCTTTCGTTTGTTCGTAGATTTTGTTGTTGAATTGAAAATATGTTGTTAGACATAAGTCGATGAGTTCTAGTAGACTTTGACTTCGAAGCTTTGTGTACTTTGTGAGATTTGTGTCGTTGGCATGCCCAATAATCTGTGATACGGGTAGTTTACAATGTTGCTTTCTAGTAATTCTATTTTGTCTACTCGTCTTACTAATAGCAGGGACCTTGAGAGAAGCGTGACCGTAACTACTGTGTTGGAAATTCAGGTTTGGTGATTGAGTCGAGTGATCTATGTCTTACATATTATTCTTTATCATGTGTTGTTTGAGCTTTCTTTAAATTTTGTCTCGGCTTATTACTATCTTTATATCTGCCAGTCTTTTTTGTAGTTATAGTGTAAGTACTGGTGGAAATGTCCTATTCAATAGACTAAAAGTAAAATGTAAGACAATTTAATGAGAAAACACAGTAATGAAAGCTTTGAGGGAGAAAATTAGCAGAGCAAAATATTGGGAAGAGACGGCGAAACCACATGTTTAATTCGTTTTGATTTTTGTCCAGCATTACTTCCATTACTAGTTTTATACGATGGCCAATAAGTGTTATTCTTTTGTTTTACAATGTGAGATTTTATTTGGTATAATTTTACTTTTTTGTGTCATGTTATTTCAAGATTTGATATTGTATAAAATTAACATGAACTACGCTCAGTATGATAGACAGCATGTAATTTTGTTATAACTCACTATTTTAATTAAATACTATTAAGGTTGTCGTATTTTGAGCAAAAGAATCATTAGTCCATGCAAACTTCACAAAAAGATGTATCTCATAATCCCATAAAGTGTTTGCAAACAGTGCTATGCATATCGACAAATTAAGACAAAATTAATATAATTTACACGATACATTGTAGCCACCGTGTTAAACAACTCTGTATATTTTGTTCGCAAACGCTTGACGTAGTTAAATGGAGGTATAGAGGGTTATAAGAATACTAAGCCTGCAGACATTTTGAAACAAAACATAGTTGAGAACGTTTGTACAGAGAAAAATGCATTGCTCAAAGATCGAAGGTACAGTTGGATACAATATCAACATTCACAATACATAGTAACTGGATAAAGACGTTCGTAAAGTTTGGATAACAAAATATTTTTACTTAACCGTACCTTACAATACATCATTCATTATCAACCACCAACTAGATAAGGCTCGAGGAACCAACAGAGTTTAGTAGCGACCAAATTGTAGGCTACTCATGAGATAACAAACAAATGAGCTTATACATGGTGGCATCAACAGTGTGATGAGAAGGATTAAATGCGATAGTATTATTCAAAAACAATCCGGGTCAAAACTCCAACATAGTATAGAATGGCCTAAAGGGGTGCTATAACACTATGATAATCTTCAATCGCAGACCGTAGCTAATAAAGTAGAAGAACAGAACACAAATTTCACATTTAAAAAAGTATTCTATCGATTTTGAGAACGTGAACAAACTTACACCAGAATTTCTTCATTCTTTGCTATTCAAATAGGTGGAACAAACTCCTAGCAAGCCTAAGTTGCACTAAAATTATAACCCAGTTCAAGAGTCTTCTCGAAAGTTACTTGTGTTACCTATTAAATGTCAGTGTAATCATTAATGTTTAATTAACCGTAAATGAGGGTATAAGCTTTTAATTTTTCATGTAAATATCCGAAATCCGCTTATGTTCTCATTTATTATTATTAATATTATTATTATTATTGATCCTCTGAAAAACATAAGATATTTTACTTTTCCTCTTCCAGAATTCCTAATTAAAAAAATACTTACTCCGATAAATAAACTTTCCAGATTCATTTTGTTTTCACAACGTAAATATGCACCGTACAAATTAATATTTGACGATTGTTCTTTACTTTTAACTGAGAATTTCATCGCATCATTCTAAACTGTTACTGCTCTGACATTTATTCCACTATCAATTCATACAATGACGATAATTTTTTTAAAATTCTATGTGTAATACATATAAAACTGTCTATTCTCATTTTCTTTGAATAAACATAATTATTACACATACTTTTTGACGACAAGTTAATATTTTTCTAAATATTACAGAAGATGTAAACATATTGTGAATATTATATAAACACTGTTGAAACTCTTGTGTATACTTGTATTTGTGATGAAATCCGAAATTGTTTATTTACAACACTTATCCATCAATAAGTTGTTTATAAATAATTATAATAACTTATCAAAAAGAAAAGATGCCGTTAACATGCTTGTAACTTATTTCCATCGTTAAAGGATAGAATAATTCACCCCAATCAAATAGTAATAATCAGGCAAGATGAATCACTATGTCAACCATCAAGATACTTTGTTTACTAGAATAAACGGCAAGACTCTAATTTATGGACGAGCCAATCAGAAGCGTTTGAGGGATTTCGAGGTCACGGCGCCAATTTCAGTACCTGATGCTCACGTACGATCGATTCACAGAGGATTTTAGAGAAGACGTGATTATTAAGCGACTTCAACAGATGAGACTATTAAGAAGTTCCTTCATTTCTGCCTGCGGTAATCAAATGACTGCAGTACCGCGTTCAGACTATCATGATGACATTGTCTTTCGAAGTTCTTTATGTTGGAGAAAAAAGTCTGCTCGAACGGGTACGTTCTTCGCTCTGTCGCGATTGGAACTGAGACAGATCATGATAACTGTCGGAAATTGGATAATAAAAGCACCAGTAACACTGGCTGCAGCATTACTGAGACTTCCGCTGTCCAATGTTATGAGTATTGCAGGGATATATGTGCAATTAAAATGACACGTTTACACGAGTCGTACGGAGAAGTTGGGAGTATTGTTGGAATAGATGAAACAGTAGTACGGAAGCGGAAATATAACAGAGGACCCAATATTAAGGAAGTCTGGGTAAGTAGCACTTCCGTAAATATAC